GGGGGGGGGGGGGAAGGAAGGATTTATCATTTTATTTCTGAAAGTAGGCTTGGGTCTACTTTCAGAAATATAGGTAGACTCTAAATCTCTTGGGTTTTATACGGGTGGCTGGATGCTCATGAAATATAGGTAGACTGTTGTTAAAATGGCTCAAATCCAGTCTTCTAATCCCAGTATTTTCCCTCGGTCATGTATCCATGAGAAAACACATGGGCCCCAATGCGCAAATGGCTTTACTTGTAGAAGACAGAAAAATGGCTTCGCCTCATAAGGAACCAAAACTTCAAGGGCAGTCGAAGGATGAAAAAAGATATCGGAATCCTGGTGAGATTTTGAGTGCGTAATTGGCCTATAGAACACTTGAGATAACCAGCCGATTTTCAAGTCAGTGTTTTTATCCTCCCAGACGGGTATGGTACCAATCAAGCGACTTTGTTTGGATGGATGGGAGTCTCGACTAGTCTGGGTAACCACACACACACATAGTCAAGAACTCGCTGTCCAGACCATGTGTATATGTGGGTGTGTGTATGTGTGTGTGTGATATTCCGCCTTTTCACAACATCATTTCCGCCATAACATAAAAATGAATAGTCTTTTTGTTTATTTTTATCTTCCGATAGCTTTGAGGCTTTAGAATTCCTACATTCAGAGCTGTTCGAATGTACCGTTGTTGGATTATTCTCTTTCTAGGACACCATTCTTCGCTTGAATATCGGCGGCAGCAGCTATCGCATTCGCACTCGCTCAATAACGAAATTTGGACCTAAAACTCTACTAGGTAATGGTTTGCTTCTTTTTCTGTCTACTACAGCTTAATTGTAAGGATAGTGCTACTTATTTTGCCTGAAGGATCACTTATTTCAAAGTGAAATCAAGATGGTTGAGTGGGAGTTAAAAGTTGTGTTCATTACTCTGGTCATGTGCTTCTCTTCCATTCAATCGAATGTGGTATCTGATTATATGAGACCGTAGACTACGATATATTTATAAGAAAAGAGGACAAAAATGCTTCAGATAGCTAGTTACAGGTCGATTTGTGCGAATGAATCACGAGCATCGTAGACAATGGGCTGATTGGTACTTCGAAGACCAAGAAGAGTATTTCTTCGAAAGAGTTCCGAGGTTAGAAACTATTCCGGGGTGATGCTTCCTGTGTCATATGAATTACAACGCCTTTTCTGGCATAACATTTGACTTACGGACGCCTCTCTACGTAATTTTCCCCGATTTCAGGTATTTCGACCCGATCTACGATTTTTATGCAACGGGAAAACTTCACGTTCCGAAGGTAATACCGCCATAGTTTTCATGACAAATAATATCAACGAAAATGTCTGTCTCTTTTGAATTGCCTTTTATTCATACCTTCATTTTTTCTTCCTA